TCAGGATTCCCAGTACCGTGGTACTATACACATTCAGGGTGAGTTTTCCTTCTTCAGTTAAATCTTTCTGAAAACTCCCATATATGCACGTGTTTCCAAAGTGAATTCTATTTGAAATTACCATGGCAATGAAGGTTAACGATCACATGGGCCTTACTTAGCTCAGGCCTCAATGCAGGAAATAACCCAAACCAGATCTGAAGGACCACCTGGCTGACCACCAATATTAAGCAGAATATACGTAGAGTTGTTTTCTGTCTTCTGAAAGGTATTAAAAACACAAAGTAAATAAAAAGTATAAATGTAATTCTCAGTGTGACACAAACTTAATTCTCTATGAATTGGTATATTTAGTGTTAATCTCAACTCAAAATATCAACAAGGAGTGGCAAGCTAAATTATTTCTACAAATGCTTGGAAAGTTAAATACAAAGGAGAACCAGTAAATGCTTGAAGAAGAAAACAAATGCTACAGGCTCTATAGATTGGCTAATTAGCTATGCAGTTCTTGAGCCTCATTCCCAGGACTCTAGCTAGAGTCAGGCTGAAAAGGGAGCAAGAGAATAATAGATAAGCACCCCCTGAGAATGGGGCAAAAGTGAAGTCACAAAGTGAGTCACACACTCAGGGAATGTGGCATTGGATCAAGATGAGCTTCAAGTCAGTGGGGTTTAAAAAATTGTTGGTTCAACAAATGTGGATAAACAACTAGATCGTCTTCTGTTAGACAGCTCTAGGTAGATGATAGATAGATAGATACATAGATAGATAGATAGATAGATAGATAGATAGATAGATAGATAGATAGATAGATGGTAGATATATCCTAAATAGACAACTTTAGAAAGATGGATAGACAGACAGATTTAGATAGACAGATAGCTACCTGAGAGACAGACAGACATGAGGCACAGGGGATGGGGAGCAGACAGATAGATTTCCAGCTTATGCTGTCCAAATGGTATAAATGGTAAAAGGAATACTTCTAAACACCACACAGCATTCAGAACAGCTACCCCAAGCTAGTCTGCTAAACTCCAGTACTGCACCTAGGGAATGAATTCTGACCCTTCTAGGAGAAGGAGCTAGACTTCCTGTCAGTGTGGGTATTTGGTGGTGCTCAGCTGATAAGGTATCTGTTTGACTTCAAAGCTGGGAGGCAAGACTCTGGTACATTCGTTCCAAGATTACTATAAATACATACAAGGAATTTGGGGCTACCAGCAGAGTTTATGGGAAGGCTGTTCTTGTATACTATTGACAGTTTAAACCAGGAATTATAAACAGATCTATAAGCAGAGTGATAGTTGAACAGAGATGTTGTACATACGAGATTATCCTCCAACCCCTGCCCATTTACACCTCCTCTCTCTACTCTCTCTCTCTCTCTCTCTCACTCTCTCTCTCTCTCTCTCTCTCTCTCTCTCTCTCTCTCTCTCTCTGCTCTTATCTTCTCCCACCTACGCGCACACTCTCTCTCTCTCTATGGCGACCGGCCATGGCGGTCAGCCATTTACCCTGTTTCTCTTCTCTCTTAGTCTCCCTACTCTACCAGGCCTATAATAAACTTGTTAATATGTCTAAAAAAAGATTATCCTCCAAGCATAACGTCCACTATCTTTACTAGATCAGCTATGTCCCCTTAGAAAAGATCATCATCATTGCCATGCCTTGTGGACCATTGCCCTTCTCTCTTAGGAGAGAAGAGGGCTGTGGGACACAGCCAGGCTGGCCTCAAACTCACAGAGAGCAATCTGCTATGTCTCCAGAGTGCTAGAATTAAAATGTGTACCACCAAGCCCTGGTATGGCTGCTGCCTTTCTTGCTTGCAATCAGAGAACTTACAAACATGCCAGGGCTGAAGGCTGTGTGAGAAATTTTAAACACCAACTAGTTGAAGCTCTTCACATCCATCTACCTAAAGCAGCAGTAGGCAGCCAGCACAGCAACCCCAAGGTTGTAGCTCGACACATTAGGCAAGTCCCTGTAACCTTAATTCTACTGAGTGTAACAATAGAGTCTTTGTCATTTATGAAAACAGGTATCAAGCTGGGTGCCAGGAAAGAACTCAAGCTTTTCATAGTAGGTGGAAAAGCCACCTACATTGCTTGCTGGTGTCTAGAAAGTGAAATGGCCAGAGGTTAGAGAACAGGTGAACTTTGAAATGAAATAGTCTCTGGCTCCGTCCTTCCATCCAAGGAAACTTCATGGATGGCCAGATATCCAATAATGTGCAGAATCAAAGTCATCCTAGAGTGTGAGAGACATCAAAAGGGGCCTACAAATTCCAGTCCAAAAAAAAAAATCAGAAGAGTCTCAGAATGAAAGTCAGCCCAAGCAGCAGAAGAGACAAAGTCTCTGCTGCTGAGACAGACAGAGCAATGTCCTGACCCAAGCTGGCCCCGTCCAAGACTACAAACCTGTAAATACACTTCTTATGGGCAGAAGAGAGTTTGGAGCTATAGAGAAGGGGTCCTAAGATGGTGGATCAACTCAGTGACTGGGTAAGTACCGTGCAGTCACAAGGGTTCTCGAGAGAGAGCAAGATGGGAGAGTCATGGAAGAAGTAGAGGGGATTGGATGTGGGGATTTGCCTGTTAGGAGATGGGAAACTTACTTTGCTGTAAGCTGTTGTTTCTGGTAACTTGAGAGATAGGTCGTCATAGGAAGCTCATCCAGCAGCCAGGAGCACAGCAGAGGATGGAGAGCTGGGAGAACACCCCAAGGATGTCACCTTTGCATTTCTACCAAGGCCAAGCACTGGACTAGAGCCAAACAGCAACTTTCTAGTCCCCATTTATTTCTCTCCTAGTTCTGGACACACCATGGCTGGTAAAGTAGGGGACACAGAAAAGAAGTTGTATATGTGCTGAAGGAAGAGAAACCATCACCTGCACAGATGTAGACCCACAGGGGGAAGAAATACAGTGTATGATTTGGACTTTAAATGTCCCCTCAAGGGTTATGTATGGTCCCAGCCTTTAGAGCTACTGGAAGTCTATAAAGACCTTAAGTGGTACAACTAGTAGAAGACGTAGGGTCACGGGAGGCAGGTCCTAAAAGGGGAGATTGGAACCCAGCCCCTTCCTGTCTGTCTCACTCTGGCTCTCTTCTGCCATGCAATAAACAAATTCCTCTACCAGGCATTCTCACCATGACATCAACCTTGTTATTGAGCCCTCTGGGTAATTAATCAAACAGACCCAAGTCCCAGACAGATCTCTTCTGCAACGCTACCAGCTATAATGACCCCAGGAGTGGCAAATGAGGGCCTACCTTTCACTTCTACTCTCTCCTACTTTGTAAGTACTTCACTTACAGTGATAGCAAAAAGATATCAAGGGATTGCCCTTCAAAAGACACCAAGTAGATATGGGGATTTGATGGTGCAAGTCTCAGACCTCAGACTCCTCCCTATGAGGATTTTCACCCAATGGTGCCTCAGATGAGGTAGCCGTGACATGTGACTGAAGAAAGGCATCTTGGTTTCAGCTCTGCTTCTACTTTTGTGAACCAGTGATTTTATTGGAATTATCTTCAGGAGTATAAGCGAGGGGCAACTTATAGAAGCATGGGTGACTTAAAGGGGACTCCATCCCACCCCAGCATGAGCAATGCCTCATGAAACTCTATGAGCTACTTGAAGAACTTGCAGACAGCTAGGCTGGGGAGGAGCTTCTCCCCAGAAGCAATTGCTTATATAACCTCAGAAAGGTACTTCAAGAACTTCCTGAGACTTCAAAGTTTTTATTACTTCCTTAGTCTCAGTGAGTCTCCCCCATTAAGAAGGGGATGCCCCAATTCAGAGGAAACAGCTACACAATGCTCAATGGGAATATGTACTTAGGATAGGAACGGAGGTGCATGCGTCTGTATGTAAATGCACATGTCAGTGTGAATGCATACTTAGAACAGAAGTGTGGTTACATATGCTTGCATGTATGTGCATGTCAGTGTGAGTGCAAGTATAAGCACCCACACTTCCGCTCTAGGAGCTGTCACTACCTGTCTTGTTATTATATCCTTCTGAACAATATCTTCAGCAGTGGTCTCAACCTACCTAATGCTGTGACCTTTTAATACAGTTCCTCATGTTGTGGTGACCCACAACCATAAATTATTTTTGTTGCTACTTTATAACTGTACTTTTGCTGCTGTTATGAACAGCAATGTTAGTATTTTGGGAGACAGAGGTTTGCCAAGGGAATTATGACCCCAGGTTGAGAACCACTGTCCTACAGGCTTACTCCAAACATCTTGTGAGCTGGCATCACATAAATGGCTGCATCCTGCCAGCCTCCATGCCTTTGATCTTGCCTTTTGATACCAAACTGGAGCTCCTGTGGAGTCTTATCCTACTAAAACCCAACTTGTCAGGCAGGAAATTCATGGCATCTCCTCCTTCAACTTCCTGCCTACCTCTAAAACATGGAGTCAACCCACACTCAAGTGTCACCAGCTTTCCAACATAAGACTACCCAGGTCATGTTCTTTCTCTTGTTCCTCCTAGTACCCTGCTCTTTTGACATATTACCTGGAACCAATGTCCAAAAGCTAGGTCAAGGAGAGGACTTCCTCAAATCCCAGCCGCTTCACACAAGTGTCTCCTTCCCATATCCTGCTGGTTATGTTATACTTCCTGATAGCCAATACCCCCGTGTCTCCTCCATTGCCTATCCCTGAAGTGCTCCGTGGCCCCTCCTAACATAAGCTCAGTGGAAAGAGGCCTCTGGCTTGGCTTCCACTGAGGAACTAGCAGTCCACAGAATTGTGTGTTGCTGAAGGAGAGAGAGAGACGTGAACTATACAGAAAGAATGAGAGTAGGAGTGAGCTACCAGTCATTGCAAAGTGTCCCTAGAGTGGGCAGATGGGAGGAGAAAGATAGGATAGCTGTGGGTGTCACTGCATGCTTCCCTTAAGTCTGACTCAGGACTGCTGGGCTCAAAAATGACCCAACAGACGACTGGGGAGGCTCTTCCCAATCTTCTCCAGCTGAAGGATGATGGCCAGACCTTGGAAGGCGTCACAGCTCCTGTTAGCCATCTTGGTGGCCCTGGTGGCCTTCAGCTACCAACAAAAGAGGAAGACATTCATAAGTGTCCGTGAAGTGAATGCCCTGGAGCCTCCTGTGCCGGACACATTGGACTATGTCACAGACGCATACAACAAAGAAAGTGAAGACGTGTACAACTTCCGGATCCTTCGCATCCTGAAGATTGAGAAGCGGGTGAGTATGTGGCTTCCCTGTCTTTCCTCCACAGAGAACCCCAGTGCTCTGGTAAAATCCAGTGTTTTGTTTTGTTTTTGTTTTTTTTATATACGATCTCACTATACAGACTAAGTGAGCCTCAACCTTGCAGCCTTCCTGACCCAGTCTCCCCAGTACAGGTATATGGTTCCATTCCCTACTGAAAGTGAGTGTTTTAAGAGAAATGTACATTCGCTAGTGGATGAATCTGTCCTTTCTATGATAACCAACAAATTACATACCCAGGCCCAGCTGTACTAGTTGTGTGCCTTTTAAAGCAGTGCTGTTGGAGCCATCTGTGCTATGTCCATCTGGGGCTGCCATGCCTTTGTCAGTCTGAAAAGTTACAACACAGGACACATGGCCTACAGAGATTAACCTCTTTACTATTTCGCCACTCACAAAACACTTGTACAGTCCTGCCTGGATAGCCTTTTCAATGTTGTCCCAGGGATGGCTGAACCCATAGAGAAAGATAGGTTTTCTGGTAGTCTTGGTGACATCTCAATGTCTTCTTGTAGTCTTGGTGCTATCTCAGTGAGACCCTAAAAGATGCCTGGAGTCAGGAAGGAAGGAAGGAAGGGAGGGAGGGAGGGAGGGAGGGAGGAAGGGAGGGAGGGAGGGAGGGAGGGAGGGAGGGAGGGAGAAAAGAGAACAAGAGTCCCACAACTGTGCAAAACTGGGCCCTTGCTATTGAGCATGGTGTGTTAAGCATGAGTATGAGCTGTCCCCTCATATAGAAGGCACAATGGGGAGAAGAGGTCTCTCTCCATTTCCCTTCCCCTCACTATCCACAGGTGACAGACCACCTAGAGTTTCGCATCAGAGTGGAAATGCGGAGGACCACCTGCTTCAAAACAGAGAAGAGCACCTGTGATGTCCAGGAAGGGGAACTTTACAAGGTGCTAGGCAAGCTCATTCATACAAGACCATTTTTCCTGGGGTTTTCTGTGGTTTTAGCATAAGGGAAGGCAGACTTACTTGGGATCTATTCGTTTGCTTGAAAAAAAATCTCATGGATGGTATCTCCTCTTCCAAGGAGGAAACTAGAGATGGAAAAAGCTGAGCTATCATTTGTTGGTAATCACAAGAAGGAGGAAGGGGTCCAAAAGGAGCAGTTAGGTGGCTTAACTGCAGGATGATTCCCCAGGCCAGGAGAAGCAGTTAGTGACTAACCATATTTTAGCAGGAAGTAGGAAATGCATTTGAAAATAATTTGACTGGAGTACAGGAAGACTAAGGAAAACAAGTCTGTGTAGGTGGCCTGCTGAGGGACTTTCTGAGTGCCCTTCATCCCCAAAGGCACCTCAGTCCCCTGCAGACTTCATTCTGATCCAGCAGAAGGCTGGCCAGATGCTGCAAAACATATTGCCACTTCTGTGTGCACAGACACCTAAAGGTGTCCAACACACACCTTTAAGCTATGAGTGCTAACAGCATTGTAACCATCTCTTAACTTTCCCCAAATGAATTTGATCAAGATGGCTGGATGTCCTTCCTGTCTGGCTTTATCCTGCTTGATGTCTACATGTTTAATGTAATCGTTGATAGCCTCACCTTTTGCTTATAACATGCTCTTGTTCAGCTCAGAAACTACATGGTAAACCTAGTAATAATGATTTGAAAGTTCTCAACACACAAATGTACCCTTTCCAGGGTTCCCTCTTCATAGTAGGACATAAAATTCAATGGTTTGAGTGAATTAAAGGAAAGATAGGTAGAAGGAATGGGTGGGCGGATGGAAGGATAAATGGGTGGATGGGTGGAATTACAAGGGTAGGTTGTGAGTGGATGGATGGATAGATAAGTAGACAAAAGGGAAGAAGGGAGGGAGAAAGGGAGGGGATTATGAAGGAGAAGAGAGGGAGGGAGAGAAGGGACATGTGAGTCCAATAGAAGCCCACCGAGAGAAGATGTGGTAAATACCACGTAAGTGAAAATGACAAGGAAATAGAACCAGGCCTTCTATTACTACTTCAAACCTGGCCACAAACAGGACATTCTCCAGAATAATCACAATGCTTTTGTCACATGAGTGAAATCACATTACTATGGGGGGGAGGGGAAGCAATGAGGCAGTGCCAATTCCCCAGACTCATGTTTAATATTCTCTTCCTTCTCACCTTGCATTTTAGCCCTTTTATCTTGTGTTATAGAGTCTGACTATGCACCCCACTTGAACCCACATCCCACTGCAGATTCTCTATTGCTGTGATTGCAGAGTACTGCCATGCCCAGCTCTTGTTCATCTTTTAAAGCATGTGTTTTGGTCTTTTGTTTTAGCAAATCCAGTGCTACTTCTCAGTGTATGTCATACCCTGGTTTGAAAGATACAAAATTCTCAAAAAAAACTGTACCAATAGCTGAGTATCTTGGAGCGCATGCTGTGTCCACCAAGCTTCAGGTCACCCTGCAGTCAACAGTAAGCCTCAATTAGAACAATAAAGATGTTAGCCTGTTCTCTTCATGGTCTTCATGCTTTGAGTCCAGTTTTTCCCCATAAATTCTTCAGCTGTAATAATAAATTGTGGAGGTCCACTAAGGGTTCCAGTGGGGGACATAGATAATTTCTGAACCTATTGTTTACACCTGCCTGATAGCAGAACTTCACCCCTAGCTTCATAGCAAGTAGGGGACCTTAGAGCTTTTTTTGTCTCTCTTGTTTTGTTTTGTTTTGTTTTTGAGATCAGGTCTCAGGGAGTCTTGGGTTGACCTGGAACTCACTATGCAGCCAGCTTGAACTTACTTCGTAGCCGAGGATGACTTTGAACTTATGGCCTTCCTTCCTCTACCTCCCAAGTACTGGAAAAATAGACAAGTACCACCACACCCAGATTTATACAGTGCTGGGGTGGGGTCAAGCACAGGACTTCCTGCAGATTAAACAAACATTCTACAGAGTAACATCCCCAGGTCAAATAATCTAGGTCTTAAGACTAGATGGAGAAGATAGAAGAACAATAAGGAGATGGGGAGATGTTTAACGTGGATAACTGAACAGCAGAGATGCTAACAGGTGACTCCCACAACAGAATCCCTCAGAAGCCTGACAAAAAGTCTCCTTCTAAAGTATGAAGCAAGAAGGAAAAACAAAGAGCAAAGAAAGACAAGGACCTTACTCCTGGTTCAGAATTGAGAGATGTCCTTCATTTCTGTAAGAAAACACTAAACTCAGATCTAGACTCCCACCACATTATATCAGCAGCCAGGACCAGAGCAGAATGCATGTTGGATTCTGGAGATTTTATCTATGAGACAAAGAAAAATATATGCCCTGTGGGAAAAAGGACATAGTCCCCCATATCAGTCAATGGAATTAAATCCACTAGAAGAGAAAGAAGTTCAGTCAGGGAAAAGCCAGCAACACTATGTCACAGGGGCTTCACTTCCTGTCTTGGTCTGTCTACTATTGACACTAACACAGTACTACAAATGAGGTAAATTACTTTTAATAATAGTCTAACTGTACATTAAGAAATGTAGCTCAAAAGGAAAAAACACAAATTATGAAATGTCTTTAATTTGCAATCAGATGTGTTTGGAAGTAAAGTATACTGATGTCTTCAACTAAATTTGAAGTACATATGAAAAAGGAGACTGTCGGGTAAATATAAGAATAAGGAGAGAGACGTAGAATACCGATACAAAATATAAATGGCAGAGTGTAGGTGGTGGGTTCTTTGCAAAAGTTCTTTCAACTTTAGACATCAAGTTTGAAGATGTTCACCAGTATTCTGGGGGGGGGGGAAGAAAACAAAACAGGAATGCTTACATTAAATCACTCTGAGTCAGACTTTAAATACCTTTCCAGAATGTGCTTGTATCTCACTGTGGGGCTGGAGAAATGGCTCCTAGGTTAAGAGTACATTCTCTCTTGCGGAGGACCTGAGTTCAGTTCCTAGGTCTCATGTCAGGCAGCTCACAAACACCTGTAATTCCAGCTCCTGAGATATCCCAGGCCTCTGACCTCAGTGGGCATGTGCATGCAAGCGTGTGTGCACACGCGTGCGTGTACACACACACACACACACACACACACACAAATAAAATATCTCACATTAAATGAAATCAATGAATAAAATTGTGGAATTAATCATGATATTGGTTGCAATTTATCCTGTGCTCATTATACATAAGGAACTTAAAAATGCCAAGCAATTGATATAAAACTTAATTTAGTATTCACAGGTGTCATTTAAAATATGTATTAGGCTCCTCACTTAGCAAGTTGGAGAATAAAAGGCAGAAGGTTACATCATTGGTAGGAGGAATCAAGAGATGAAGTTGATGTTAGCCACTACATGCTAAAAGGGAGACATTTGACTAGAGATTGTTAGTGGTTATTTGTTTATTCCTATTTCTTCTCTCTTGATTAGAAATGACAAAAATAAAACAGTATCACTGGAATCCCAGCATTTCTACTCTGACCAAGGTCTTTTCCACTTACATAGGACCTAAGTGTAGTTTTAAAATACATTTTCATTAATCCTCTGGGAATGCATTCAATTATTTTGGTCATATTCACCTCTCACTCCTCTCCTTAACTCCTCCAGATCCACCCCAAACCCTACCAACTTCATGTTCTCTCTAAGAGTGTGGCCCTTGGTGGTATCACCACATTCCAGAGATTGTCCTGACACCCCTGGATCTATGGCAACAGAAACCCAACTGGACTCTGCAGGCTATAAAATAGACTGGAAAATTGCACAGCAAACTATCTGTACTCATGGTTCTGCTCTAAAATTAAGGAGCACCATCTAGTGATAGCCTTCTTTTTGGCCGAGTCCTAAGGTAGCACAGGACCTCACATGGTAAGTGAAGCAAGGAGTGACAGAAGCCTATCTAAACTGGCTTTCACAACTGACAGGTTCCCAAGATGATTCAGTCAGCCATTAACACATTAATTCATTTATCAGACAAGTGAGTTCATCCACGTACATGGACAGAGACCCAACAACCTCCTAAAAGTCCCAGTGGGTACCACTTCTGCTTCTGATGTAGATTTATGTCTCCACAGGAGTTTGGAAGCACCTTCCATGGTAGCCCATCAACAGTAGGGATACCCCAAAACTTTAACTCAGGACTTCAGTGCCCCCAGGCTCCTTCCACACAGCTCTCAGGAGAACCATCAGCAATTCACATGTGCTCATTCACATCTAGTAGAAATAGAAATATCTCATGCCAAGACTCCAGCAAAAGGGCTGGAGAGATAGCTAGGTGGCTAAGAGCACTTGCTGCTCTTCCAGGGGATCAGAGTTTGATTCACAATCATCTCAACCTTCAGCTGCAGGGGGTCTGACACCCTCTTCTAGCCTCCATGTTCATAGGCATGCTTACTTAACACAGAGGCACATAAATAAAAATTATTTAAAATTGACAAAAAAAATTCAGCCAAAGTCCAGGGTTTAGTATCATTGGAAGACCCTGCTGACATTGAGGGGTATATAATACACACACACACACACACACACACACACACACACACACACACACACACCACAGGGGTGGGGCAGCTGATGGAGTTGAAGTATTTATCCAGGTAGAATTTGCCAAGGGTGGCTCCAAGCACTGTGATTTCTCTGACCCCTCTTTGTTACAACAGCAGTAGGTCAGAGCAAGCCAGTGTGCTCACAGGGAAACAGGCTGGCATACTCCAAGAGGGTAAGTCTATAGGACACAAGCAGAGGACCAATTAGTGTGAACTGTGATCCTGGATGAACAAAAGCCTTGTCAAGGCTCTCCAAGTTGGGATTAGATAGGAATTTTTAGGCTTCTACTCACCCCATCAAAATGCTAACATGTTTGGGGGACCCAGGTGGGCTTCCTTCTTCCAAATATCTGGGATCACATTTATCTACAACATTTCTTCTTCAGCTGAGGAAACCAGAATACCTTCTTGGAGTTGTTACAAAGTCTGAGAGCAATGATGCTAATGATAATGATGTAGTCAGGAATCAAAACACATGCAGCCTAGAGCAGGAACACAGTGGAAACCATGATAATAATTTACTGTGAATCACAGCCACATTATGGCCACATTTGGGATATTTCATTCCCCAGACAGTGATTGTCCTTTTCGAGAAAAGCAGAGATGGGACATTTGTTCCCATTAGTCTCTTGGATTTTTCAGTCAATTTTTGGCTCAAATGTATTTTGGAAATAACTGTATTTTTACAAGAAGTTACAAAAGTAGCAAAGAGAAGTGCTCCGTACCTTTCCCTGGTTTTCTCTAATGGCAAAATTTTCATAAGTGGGGTGTGTGTGTGTGTGTGTGTGTGTGTGTGTGGTGTGTGTGTGTGTGTGTGTGTGTGTGTGTGTGTGTGTGTGTGTGTGTGTGTATCACTCGTGTAGATTCATGTAAGTACCACTATAGTAGAGATATGCAGACCCATTCCATCAGAGAGTCCTACTGGATCAGGACTCACATTTATCTACCCTTCATGCTGCCTGCTTACCCAATCCTGTTTGTGGATTTTAAAAGGTAGGTGGACTGGGAAAGATAAAGGCCACTTTTAAAAACAAATTTCAAAGCAGTGGGCAGAAGAGATGTTTCAAAAGTTAAGAGCACATACTACTCTTGCAGAGGACCTGAGTTCCATTCCCAACACTCCTGGTGGGCAGTTCACAACATCCTGTGACTCCAAATGAGGGAGATCTGGTGTCTTTGACCTCCACAGGCATCTGAACATATGTGCACATGCTCCTGTGTAGATGCACATGAATTCACATAGCTCAAGATAATAACTTTAAAGAATCAACATAGGACTGGAATGTAGCTCAGTGGCAAAGCACTTGCCAGCGTGCTGAAAGCCCTGTGAGCAAACTGCAGCACTGGTAAAATAATAATACACTCAGGAGGCAGAAGCAGGTGGATCTTTGGTGAGTTCGAGGCCATCTCGGTCTACAATACAAGTTCAGGAAAGCCAGGGCTGTTACATAGAAAAGCCCTGTTTCAACAAATACATATTACGTAGGTATGTATACATGCATGTACATACATACAATAATAACAGAGGGCGAGCGAGACAGCTCAAAAAGGTAAAGTGCTTGCCATGCAAGCCTGACAACCTGAGTTTGATTCTTGAAACTGATGATGTTCAGAAAGAAGCAATCTCTGAAAGTCATCCTCTTGACTTCCCCATGAGGACCACGACAAGAATACACTTGCATTCATACTCACATGTTGCACACACAACACAACGAATAAAATTAAAACAAAGAAGAGTCATGTCAATAGGAAACTGCATAAAGTAAAAAACAAATTGAACACTCATCTCCCATGCAAACATGAAATGAGTAAGAACTTAGTTCAAACCAATGCCATAGTTTATTTCTTTGTTGTCAGTGGCGGTGGTAGATTTTTGTTGTTGTTGTTGTTTGCCATTTTTGTTTTTGTTTTTCAAGACAGGGTTTCTCTGTGTAATAGCCCTGGCTGTCCTGAAACTCACTCTGTAGATCAGGCTGGCCTCAAACTCACAGAGATCCACCTGCTTCTGCCTCCCAAGTGCTAGAACAAAAGGCATGCACCACCATGGCCTGGCCAGTTAATTTCTTTAATATTTGTTAATTTTGAGACAGTACTTCTCTATATAGCTCAAACTGGCCTCTCTAACTCACTGACTTCCCTGACTCAATCTCCTGATTGCTGAGATTACAAACCTGAACCACCACCGTGCCAAGGCATGAAGTAACAATAGAAATGCAAAGTAAGTTGGGGAAATGAAAACAAGTTGGGAGCAAAAGTAGCTTATGCTGTACAAATGCACACCCTGTGTCCTCAGTGAATACCCAATGGAGGCACGCATATATCTGTCTTTTACACACATGCTTATTGCTAAAAGGTAGTATAATTAGAAACTGAAAACTAGCTGGGTATGTTGGTGCATGCTTATAATACTAGCACTTAGGAGCCTAAGGCAGAAGGATCTCTGTGATTCAAGGCCGACTAGGTCTACCCAGCTAGACACTACCTTAAAAATAAAAATTAAAACTACTGAAAATCACGCACAAGGCCATTATTAAAGAATGGATAAGAATGGCTTATTTAGGGAATGAAGAAATGACTCAGTGGGTACAGAGAGGAAGCAGAGTGCCATGTGGGGCTTCAGAGGCCTTAGTGGCATTGGATTTGCATGGCAGGGTGCATTGGGCTCTCTACAAATATGTACCTTCCATTCATTTCCTGTGCCCCTTCTCCTCTAGGCATCTTGGTTAATGTGAGACTCTCACTTCTTCTCCCCTAAGTGATTCCCAAATTACACTCACTGTCTGAGACAGTGACAGACCCAGGGAGGAAGCCAAGTATCACATGGTACACTCAATATGTCCTCAGCACGAGGATGTGCCCTCTCTACTGAGTTCATATGAGTCAATGGAGGGAGGTAGCTGTAGGGAAGCGAGAATATAAGCTCATACCATGCCTGTTGTACGGAGACCTAAAGGGAAAGCATTCAACACGTTGATGGAAATCCTACCAAAGGACCTCCTCCATTATGTACACAAACACACACACTCACACATATACACACACACGTGAGGCCTGTGCCTGGCACCTCTCTTCTAGAGTCTGGAATTTGGCACATGCCAGGCAGAGATGCCTGTGGGAACAACCCCAAACAACACCTGAACACTGAGTCTCTGACTCTGGCCCCCAGAAGACAGTGTGTTACAGATGCCCTCATAGCTTGTGGCTGGGAACTACGTGAACCATGTGACTGTAATGGGCAAGGACTCTGGGAGTTTCAACCTTTTCCCTGGATACTATCCTATACTTTTTTTTTTTTCCTCTTCGAAACAGCGTTTCTCTGTGTAGCTTTGGAGCCTATCCTAGCACTGGCTCTGTAGACCAGGCTGGCCTCGAACTCACAGAGATCCGCCTGCCTCTGCCTCCCGAGTGCTGGGATTAAAGGCGTGCACCACCACTGCCCAGCCTATCCTATACTTTTTTGTTGTGTTTTAAATGAAAATAGACCTCATAGGCTCATAGGGATTTGGCACTATTAGGTGTGGCCTAGTTGGAAGAAATGAGTCGCTGGGGGTGGGCTTTGAGGTTTCAAATGCTCAATCCAGGCCCAGTGTCACTCTCTCTTCCTGACCCTCAGGATCCAGATGTAGAACTCTAAGCTACTTCTCCAGCACCATGTCTGCCCTCATACCACCATGCTTCTCTCCATGACAATAATGGACTAACTATAAGCCAGTCTCTTCATAGCAACAAAAACCCAAGCTAAGACATTCCTGCTACTGTTGTCCTTTAGCCATTGTAAGGCACAGCTTTGGTACAATCCACACTGGTTACTCAGCCTTGCTTGGTGATGGGACTTCAGACACGCTCACTGTGACATGTATGAGTCACAGTATTGTGTGTACCGGTAAGATACAGAGCTCCCCATCCCCAGTCCAGAGTTGATGGCTGTGTGCTTGGGCCCAGAGATAGCAGAAGCAAGAAAGAACAGTGATCGCCCCCCTCCCCCACAAAGGGATGTCAGCATCCTGTTCAAAGTGTAGCAATCCCGGGTACCACTGCACGTCTGTGAAGTGTATGTGAGCTATAAGTATGGCAAAGCTCAGAGGTTCATGTGTGGAAGTGTTTGCATGGTGTTTTCATGATGAATGTAAGTGTATGAGACCAGAGGTGTATATGTCTGTGTGTATGTGAGTGGGGGGTATATGTGTCAATAAAGGTGCTGTTACTACTATGCATATTTTTGAGGGTCAGTGTTTGAAGATGAGTGAGCATGTTTGTACTTGTATGAGTGTGTGTAGATACACCCCATAGAAGGGCACGAGTCCTCTTAGAGCTATAGAAAAAACAATACACAACACAGGCATCTGGGTGTCAGTAGAGATCTTTGCTACCCTGGCAGGAATTGTTCCAGAGCTGGTAGTAGTTCATCCAGGGCACGGTATATATCAGTGATTTGCAAACCAGGCTCTGCGGAAGAAGAAAGAAGATAAAAAGCTTTGGAGAAAAGAGTTTTCAACAGTAGAAGAAAAGGTTCTATCTCCTAAGGCCCTGGGGAACCCAGAGAGGAACTGCTCCTCTGAGACCCATGGCAGGTGCCTCTGGAGCCCTCAGTCTAAACAGGATCTAGGATTCCAGGAAGAGGTACTGACACTCTCTCTTCTCCCACCCCTGAACCTACACCCTGGGACAGAAAGAGGCCCCCATATCTACCATCTGTGCGGTGAGGGGCCAGGAAACATAGAAGAGACAACAGAAATGGGGACAGTCTTCGATGACCCAAAGAATGGGAGCAAGATAATAACAAAAGCCCTGAGGAGGAACAAACAATCCTTGCACCCTGGAGCTCTGTGGGGAGAAGCAGACTCCTAGGTCCAGGACTGTGTCTGCTTGGGTGGCCAGACTGCCCACACCAACAGCTTTCTTCCTTCTTGGATGCACCAAGAAGTGTCACGTAGCCTTAAGGCTGGGCATTTGCTGGCCCCAACTCTCAGTTTGAGGATGTTTATTCCCCATACTTGGCCTTGAGGCTTTCTCAGAGGACCCCCACAACAAACCTTTTTCAGCTTGTTGCTTTGCAGAGGACAGGAAGCTTTCTTTGTCTCGTTTTTCTTGCATTTGGTCCTGCCAATCTTCACAGTGACCAAATACTCCACTCCTGTGGTCAGCTGTGGAGAAGCAATTGCACTGATGATTTCCACCCTTGAGTGTCCAGTGTCTGACCCTCTCCCTGACCCTGATCCCAGAACTCATCCACCAAAACTCAGCTCCTTCCTCCCCTCCCATTGAGTGAGTCTCAATGGCAACTAAGATCCCTAGTCAGCCACAGCCCAGTGCTCTGGACTGTGCTGTGGGAGCCACATGGTTCTTACTTGTCTCCCAGCTATCATCATGATAAGACAAGCTGGGTTGCTTGGTAACCACAAACCACTGTGAGCTACCTGGCCCTGTTCCTTCCCAGTCTGCAGCCATCTTCTCCCTCCTTACTCTCCATCCCAGACAACCAGAAAGAAGACAATTCAGCAACACATCTAAATATTTATTAAATGGCTTAAAAGCACTGTTGCTCTTGCAGAGAACCTAGGTTTGGTTCCTAGAACCCACATGGCAGTTCACAACCACCTGTAACTCCAGTTTCTGGGTATCCAGTGCCCTCTTCTGGTCTCTGCAAGCATTGGGCATATGTGGAGGCTCTTATATACATGTACTTGAAGGAAGAACACTCATACACATAAAAATATAAATCTTTTAAAAGAAGTTTGGGAGTCAAATTGATTTCAGACATTCACTCCCCGCGTATTAGCTCTAAAACCTTGAGAAAGTAATGCAGCAGCTTCCATTTCTTCATTTGCAATGTCCACATAAGCATTCAATCTGCTTAAGGAGTCTGTGGGCAAAATAGGCGCACTTCCACTAATGCATGAAAAACCAACCTATTGTGTAGCTATTTCCTCCCTATTGAAACATTCTCCAGGGGAGTGGAGGCTGGCTCATAAGATTCAGGAATCAAACGAAACAAGATTGTAAGGCCTCCCACCCAAGGTCCCTCCCCATTGTGGAGACTTAGGCTAGCTGAGCCACCTGCAGGAACTTCTAAGATGCCATCATCATCCGGAGCTATCGCCCTTTCTGGAATGAGCTTTTTGGTGATACAGCTGCTTTTGAGTCATCCATGTGTTTTTAAGTATCTCCCATAGACCCCCTGGTAAACTAAGCTAGACTTGGGTGGAACCATTTCTTTGGTCCGTTGGTGGTACCCTATCTGTAGTAAGTAGATACTTGTTCAGGTTTCCCCAGGAAAAGCCACACAAAGGTATCTTAAAAGAATTCAAATATTTAAGTTACTAAATATTTCTGTCAACTCCATGGAGCATTGGGAGAGCCAAGGACAGAAGAATGACATGTGCCTACGATCTTGCTTTATCTCCCAGACACTTTCCACTTGAAATGATACCTGCTATGCCCTGAATCTGTTTCTTCCTGGGACAATGGACAGTGCAAGACGATGATGTGCTAGCCAGGTAAGCCACAGAGACACAAGCCAGGGCCAGCTCCCGTGGGTGGCTTTGTCTTCTCTTTCTCGTGATAAAACCTAAGGCTGCGAAGACTGAGGAGGAGGAGGAGGGGGAGGTCGGGAAGGCTTTTGTGGAAGAGAAGACCCACACTGGAGTGAAACGCTAAGGAAATTTGGGGATCATTGTCCTAGGTCTGACTCCCAGGTGAATGTGTAGATTAGACAGCTACATTTGTAGTGGGGAGAAGCTCTTGGGAACCCCCTACTTCTTGCTCAAATGCCAGTGATCCAACCTAACGAGATGGTGTGAGCCTCTCTTGGGGAGATGCAGGCAGAAAATTCACCTTGATCCTGGTTGAAATGTTCCCATAACAAATACAAAGCCAGGTCCCAGGGCAATTGCCCATGGCTGCACTGAGAATACAATCTCAGTAGTAGCCTGGAATTCCCTAGAATGCAGGAGCTCCTCACCTGTCATTAAGGGGCCTCCTGCTTATGCATGGGGGTGTTGTAGAACTGATGTAGCCATTGTCACACTGACTAGCTATAAACAAGTTGTATGTAGGAAAAGACTAAAACGTGCATGCACATAAAACTTCTTACTCACTGGTAGTCTTGATAGTTCACTAAGATTATGCTCATAGTGACAGCAAATGTTTTGACAAGTGTCACTAGGTGGTGACAGCATTGTGCTAAATTGTTGCTTGTTCTGTCCTGAAGGAGTCTAGATGACACCTAACTAAGATCCCACGGCTGGGAGCAGTTGAAAGTCGAAAGCAGGCCCATCAGCCCACCTTGCTTGTCTATTATCCCCTCTTTGCAGTACTGAGACGTTCAAAGTCTCACCTGAATATTGAGACGTCCAGAAACCTGTGTCCGTGACCCTCCCCTTCCAATCGCCAAGCCCACACTGTCCTCCTATCACTTTAAGTAACATCAAGTTTGCTTAAAACATTTTTAGAAACTATGCTTGACCGGTTAGCTGTTAATGGTAAAAGGTTGGTTTCACACATTAAATCTTAAGGATTTCAGATATGAGATATATGAAAATGATTCAAGTGAAAAAGACAAATGAGAACAGCACCACCAGGTGGTCACAGTTCTTAACAGCCAGGAGTCCCCTGGAATGTCTGTGCCAGGCTTTAGGAACTCACTTGCCTGTGTATAACACTAGTATGACCCACCCCACTCCCATGCCTTCCTCTCTTTCTATTAATTCCTGTTCCATATGCCTCTCATCCTCTCAGACTATTAGTCTTCCCTTCTTGAGAATCATTTCTCCCAAAATCTGTCTAACTAGGATGCAGTATTGTTTCTGACTGATTTAGATATTTTACTAACTGACCTTGAGGGAACAGTGGATCAATAGTTTCAGACAAATTCTTTCCTCTATCATATTTCAAGAATTCCATGTGTAAAACAAAAGTGAGGATATGGTGACACACAGGTGGGATCCTGGCACTCACATTCAGGAGGCTAAGGAAGGAGGCTGAGGATAGAGCTGTACAGGCCACCCCGGGCTAAATACAGAGACTCTCCCTCCAAAGTGGTGGAACTATCGGACCAAAGCTGCTTGCTCATTTCCTGCTACCTCTCCACTGCTATCCCCAAAGACTTGTGATTTCAAATGTCTTGAACAGAAAATTCAGTCCCATCTTACAGTCCTAGACACTAAAAATAAATGCTGCGGGACGTAAGGAATCCACAGAGAATGTTTAGGCTTTATTTAGATAAAACCATTAAAGAAAGCAAAACCAGCCCCATTGCTGGTAGGCAAAACGAAATGCAATTCCCTCCATAGAACAATGGAGAACCACCTCTACACGTTAGCTTTTGGCCAAGAAGAAGTGAGTTAGGTTGGCTCCAGAACTTAGGCCCTGCCAGGTCATGTGGCTATGGTGACTGAGGGAGCTGCTTAGCCCAGAAGCACCAAGTGCACCCATCACATAGGACACTCCCCAGAGAGTTATCAGTCCTCTACCCCAGGAACCCAGGCAGAATCCCCATATGTGTGAAAAAGCAAGATGGGGGTTGTGTTGGTGTCTGGGAAACCAAGGCACAAACCTGCATACCTGCATCTGACTTTGAATTAACTTCTGAACTTGAAACAAGTAGGTGTCATTGCTTGCATTGTTATAGGATTGGATGAAGAAGTGGATTGTAGAGTTCATGTTTTTCTCACTTGTGGCCTGCTCCTTGAAGCCTCCCCACCTTTGGATGTGACTCAGCCTGGCCTTTACAACTACAATCACCAGCAAGAGCAGCAAGGGGATCCTCAAGCCTCGGGCTTTCATCTCCACAGCTTCAGCAGGCACTTGTCTGTACTGTTGCCAGGGTAGGAGTGGTGCAGCAACTGTTCCCTCGCTCTTCCACAGCAATCCTACTAGAAAGGGCTTTCCTGGGAGACAGCTTCACCTGCACTTAAGCAAAGATTAAGAGCCCAAGTACATTCTTCCACAGTGCTAAGAACACTATCTATGGGAAGCTTCCCAAGGGGCCATGCACCCTACTCCTGAGCAGTGTGCCCTCCCCACCCCCCCCCCCCCCCCGCTTGCAACGGCCATTCTTTTCTTTAGCATTCCAAATACTGGGTTGTCTCTGCACGCTGCCAAGTCAAGAGAGTCCCTATCCTTTCCTGCACATGCAGTGTGAAAGAAATCCCAACAACAGACCTGTTCAGAGCTCTGCAATAAAAGCTGCTGTAGTGGGCAAAGGGCTCAATATTTGGGAGTGGGTGAACATTTATGGAGAAGTCATATTTGAACTGAGACACAGGACTCAACCTCATGGAACCTGGAGTAGTACATTCCAACCATCTTACCAAGCCACCAGCATCCCCGAGCTTCCTTGGTCAGGTTCCTCTCACTCTTGCCTCCCACCTGCCACAGATTTCTCCCTGCTGTTTCTCACTGTGTGGCAAATTCACATACTATCACTTGTAAACCTGCTGTGACCCAGCAGAGCTTTGTGAGGTAATCCCAAGCTCCCCATGTGAAATGAGCCAGGAGTCTTACTCAGAAATTAGCCCTGCACGGTGCTGTCTGTATTCAGAAGCCCATTGTAGGACCCTACAGTTTGCTCTGGGAAAAGAATAGTAGTAAGAGAATCAATGAAATCTGGGGCTACAGTGATGGCTCAGTGACAGCATGAGGACGTGAGTTCATACCCTCAGTGCCCACATAAAAGCCAGATTTGGCAATGAACATCTGTCATCTAGTGCTGGGAAGCAAAGATGGGTGGGTCACAGGGCCTCACCAGTCAATCCGTGTAGCCAAACTGCTAAGTTCCAGGTTTATTGAGATACCCTGTCTCAAAAAGTAAGGTGGAGAGTAATGCAGTAAGATATAATGGTAACCTTGGGCCTGTATACACCCCTACTGCCCCATCCCACAATCTGAATGTAGTGCAGTGCTTGTATTATAAAAGAATAACTTCTTAATTTTACGGTTGTACTGGGATTATGCCAATGTCTGGGGAGGTTAAAGACCTAGGAAAGATTTTGCATTTTTCAGCTGTTTTGTAAGTCTTATTTTATTCAAATTAAAAGTTAAAATATTCAAAACTAAATACTAGTTAGTGAGAAGCAGAGTGATATGGCAGACCACACACACACACACACACACACACACACAAACACACAGACATTATCCAGATATATTCTGGGGATCCTGGGCTAATTAATCTCCCTGAGTCTAGATTTTTCATCTCCCTATAATATGAATTATTTTTTTTAAATAAAGGTCTCATTGTTTAGTCCTGGATGGCCTGGAGCTCACTGTGTAGCCAAAGTTGGCTTGTAACTCACAGAGATCCAGTTGATTATGGCCCATACTGGGATTAAAGGCTTGTGCCACCACACCTGAGATCCCTGTAACAGGAAAATGGATGGAGGCAAAGAACTTGCTCCTGTATCTGGCATTGGTGAATTCTCAAAAACATCTGTGTGATTCTTCCCTGACTCTGATTCATATGCTGGAACCATTGTCTACTGAGCTTCTAGCTCTAGTCCAAGACACCCTCCATTGTGACAGTATACAATCCTGCTTGGATACATCACAGTACCCATACTATGCTCCATGGAGTACTAGAAGCTGTCCAGCTCTAAACACAGCAACTTTAGAACACTCCAAGTTGGATAAGTCAAGGTCACTATGGAGTAGATGTCTCAACTGTAGCCTAATTCCTACACTTTCCTCTCTACTGTAAATGACTAGTAGTAAACTCTGCTGCTTGTGGGGCAATTCAACAAACTCTTTTATTTAAGCTAAATATAGCCAATCAAAATATATGTCACTCTGGATTGCTATGTGGTAAGGAAGTAGGAGCACGGGCAGGGTATAAAACAATCTGTTTAACTAAACTTGGGGACTACCTTTTTTTCTTTTTTCTTTTTTAAATTTTGTGGAAAGCAACATTTTGCCTAGGTGTATGTTTGTGTGCCATTTGTGTGCTTGGTGCCTGAGGAAGTCAAAAGAGGGCTTCAGATTCCCAAGAACTGGAGTTACACATAGTTGTGAACCACATATGTGGGTGCTGGGAATCAAATCCAGGTATGGTGGAAGTCATGCTGTCACCCTTGGGAACAATTCTTGGGTGTGTTACAAATGGAGCTCCTTAGACAGCAAGGCCATTTGGAGAATCCCATCCATTTAGCAAGGACCTATGGATACAATACTGCAAACTCCTGTGCTGACCTTGGGAAGCTCATGGGTTTCAGGCTTCTCTAACTTTCGCTATGCTTATTCTTATGGAATCTCTTAGTTCTGCCTTGTTAGTCATGATTATGCCTGAGTTTACTGGTAATAAAAGCTTTTACAGAAAAACCAAATTTCTTTGATCTGTTACAGAAACCATTTTCTCCAGTTGTCCCCGGCTGCATTTGCAGTCATCCCGAAAAAGCAAGAGGAACTCACAAAGATTAATGATTATTCAATACCAAAAAGAGATAAATATATTCCAAAGAACTTAACAAAGAAAGCAGTTTCTTAAAATATGACATTAGCTGGGCAGTGGTGATGCATGCCTTTAATCCCAGCACTCGAGAGGCAGAGGTAGGCGGATCTCTGTGAGTTCAAGACCAGCCTGGTCTACAAGAGCTAGTTCCAGGACAGCCTCCAAAGCCACAGAGAAACCCTGTCTCGAAAAACAAAAAAAAAAAAAAAGCAAAACAAAACAAAAATATGACATTAAAAACCTTATAGTAACACAGAAAGAAAAAGAGATAGGACATGAAAGGTCAGCCATTTCTCTGGCACCAGGGTATAAACAGTATAAATATCAAAGTATCAATAAAGAAATCTAAAACTCCTAGTTCCTCTTAAAGAAGTACATTTAGAAATTCCCAGGAAGAACAAAGAAACTTAGTCTCAACAAAGAGTTAGGTATTAATCATTACTATTTTGAGAACTTAATAAAGAATAGGATTATAACTGCAATCCACATAATAAAGATGACAGTCGGATTACTCAGAAACTGGTATACACCTGAAAATGATACTCTAGGCATCACAATATGTTCAGCTGATCTCATATGGTTAGGAATTAATCACAGGGCTCAAATCTCTTACTTTGTAACAGCATTTTTGCTGCCGGCTAGAGCACAGTATGAATAAGATGTACCTAGCTAGATGTAAACATTTGGCTTGCTGTATAATGATATGGGGTAAAGATCAATGATGTCAGCAGAGTGGAAAAGAAGAGAAACAAAAATGTTAATGACTCTTAGAAAATGACTAAAGAAAAATGCTTTGAAGCTGCTCCTGCTTTAATTCATTAGAACCTGCAAAAAAAAAGACAGCCTGAGCTAGTCGGGGCCATCAGTTTGAAAAACAACTGGTGGTCAGACTCCTCATCTGTCGCCGACTTCACACATCCTTCCTGAGGCCCAAGAGTCCTTCTAGAGCTGGACTCCAGCACAGGTCCTCTGCAACAGCAACAAGTACTCTTAACTGCTGAGCCATCTCTCCAGCTCCAGAGCGCAGCTTTTTAAACAGTCCTCTGCTGAGCCTATGTGTCAACACTGCAAATAAAATTGCTTTCTGGCCCCTATAAGTTCAGGCAGGCATCTTGCTTCCTGATCCAGTTTTCCCTGAACAATACTAGAAAGATCCATGGTATGAGGGAGAAACGGGTATTTAGTTAAAGACCATGAAATAAAGGAGAAATAACCGGCCTAATTGTATCAATGGAATATGGAATCAAATGGGCAGTATTTTAATGTCCAACAACTAAGGGGATATAGAGTTCCAACAAGTCCATGGATATGTGGGAAGTATGAGTCATGTTATATTTGTGGAATAAAAATAAAATAGAGACCACAGCCACAATCATAAATATGAGAAATACAGTGAATATCGAGAACCTGCCCATGAATTAAGAGGAAAACAAGGAGCCAAGTGAAATACAATACAATGAGGAATGAGACAAAAGGAGGAAGTAAGGGGCCTGCCTGGACATGTTCTTGAAGGAAAGGCAAAGAAGGGACTTGTTTATCTTCGAAGAATTGGCAAATTGGATTCTTAATTAAAGCTGTGAAATAAAAGGAGCAAGATGGCCTAGTTACATCCAGGAATGAAGAGAAACACACAGACAGGCTACGTCCAAGCAGTTCTGGAGAATGTTTAAGCTTGGTCATGTCAGAAGGAAAGGGGAAAATAAGGCTCTTTTCATGTTATGAAAGAGGAAACAAAATGCCTCCTAATTTTATAGGCTATAGGGAGGATGGGAGATTGAGAATTCCATAGACTAAAGGGGAACTTAGAGGAGTCTTGCTCATTCCATGGAAAAGGAGAAAAATGAACTTCAGCTGGGTCCTTGGAAAGAGGAAATTACAGGGATCTTGATCTTGTCCATAGGACATGAGAAAAATCCATGGCATGGGCTGAGGCCTCACTGGACAAATTCATGAATAGGAAACATTTAAGCCTTATTTTAGTTATGAAACAGGGAGGATTATGAGCTCTGACTGTTTGCATGGAAAATAGAAACCGTAGATGTCTGGGGAAAGGAAGGAAATTGGAAACATGGGTACATATGTGGAATAAGAGGAAAGGAGTTTCGTTGGTCATGTTAATGGAGGATAGCATGGAAAATGTGAGGTCTGCTGATATATGGAGGAAGGAAACAGCAGAGGGAACGAACGTCAAGGAGAAGAGAAATTCAGATAATAGACATGGTCATTGGGTAGATTTTAGTGAGTGATGATTCTGCTAATGAACACAAGTAATAAAACTTCAAATTGTTCACTGTACATACATGTGATTATTTGTCAATTGCAACTCAGAATGTGGTTTGTATGGATGGGTGGGTGTGTGGGATAAATGGAT